CAGTAGTGTCGATAGCACATGCTGCTGGCACGCCCACTTGTCTGTGATTGGCTGCACGCGCGAGTTAGCCAATAACAGACATATACGTCGGCATTCTACGAGCCAGGGTCAAGCGTGCGTTGAGGAATCCTCGACAGGTCACAGGGGGGGGGGTCGTATTGGTCCGCTGGGAGGAAGAGATCGGGCCAGATTGACGCAGTAGGATCACCGTCGGAGGACAAACATCAAGGATCGAGTCGATGCCAGGCCAGAGTATTTCCAACAACAATTGATTCTGCCCACACAAAATCTTCGTGATTTAGACCGGTGGCGTATGGAATTCTTATTAATTGGCGTTTACACCACACAATAAGAATCCGAAATTCGCACGTTTTCCAAGGGATATTTTATCTTTCAAGTGAGTCCTCAAATCCAACGGGATGTGAAGCACACGGCGCATCCCAGAGTGGGCCCAGTTGGTTGCGCGCGCTTCAGCTACGGCTCTCTTGATAACGAATCTTAATTCAGGAAGAATCAAGAGGGTTCTGAAAGAGTTCATGTTAAATTACAGAGAGGAGTACACTATTCAACAAGAAACGCAGCCTTCAGCGTCAAATTCGTGAAGCATTAACCGTTAAAGTTGAGACCCGCTAAACAGTTTTACACTTTTTGCAGAGAGAAAAGCACGAGGACGATTTCGAATCTGCTTCTACGATTAAATGGTTAATCGCCGTCTGTAAAGTGCTATAGTATTGGACAAGTGTTAATGCACACAACACAACGGGACGCCAAAAGTACCTTTCGGCGGTACTCGGGCAAAAATCCTCAACGTGGCCATTTTTTGAAATAGTGGACGTATTAAGCTGTTTAGCAACCGTTTGATAGAGAAAATCTTCTAGTTTTGTATGACGTATCAACTTTTTGAATTTGACGAAAATGAAGCAAGTTATTGCTTCGGAAAGTGTAAAAACTCGTGCTCGTCATGAATTTTCCTCGTTAATTGATCTAAATTTTATTTCTTATAAATTTTTGTAATTTCAATACTGATTAGAAAAAGCTCTTCACAAAACTCCCAAATCTGCTTTCAGATTGAAAATTCGTCATATTTGAAGAAAGTTATAATCATTTGAATATTTGTTCAAATTTCAATAGTAAATAAGCTGCTCCACGGTCAACGCCAAAGTCCAGTCAACACACAGCTGGCGAAGGCGGTTGCAAGGCTTCTTCCAACCGAAAGGTGAGGTATAAACTGAGAACTCTACTCTTTGTAGTACTAGAATTTGGTAAGTCTTGTGGAGGAAATAAATAAAGAAGAGATGTTGTCATAGTATGCCATTTTTAGTGGCTAGTTTGTCGTTTTTTCTGTTTCTCGTTTGCTCGTTTGGTAGGACTCATCAATAATGATCATTCTTTGACTTTTTCACTTTTGTACTTCTTAAACGAATTTTTTTGTGGACGGTGGGGTAGCAGGGCTTTTTTATGAGCAGTTTTGGTGGAGAACAGGGTGAATAACGGTCGAGGAAATCCTCGACAGGGGGTCGTATTTGCTCCGATGAGAGTTGGGAGGGGGTCGTAATCAAAAGGTTCATCAACGGACACAACGGTGCTGCTGCCACTTATTTGCTGTCATCATTAGTTTCACAAGTGTTGTAGTTAGCCTAATGCAAATAATATCTTACAACTGTCTGGAATTAAAATTTAATGGAAAGTGGTTGTTGGTTTGGTTCGTAGTGATCAGTATGGCATAGGAAGGCAACGCGTCCTGCAAAAGAATCGTAGGGAAAGGGCAGCGAGTATCTACTCTAGAATGATGTACATGCTTCGAGAACTTAGTGGAGGAACAGCATCTTGGTAGAAAGTTCAAAACAGGCAGATTCGCAGCCTTCTTGGCATCATCAGATCCTGCAACCGCAAGCGTGTCATTCATCAGAACGGGTTGGAAAGGAAGCGATTTGAATAAAGGAATGATCAGACATCACTATGACCACAAGAGTTATCCTAATTAGTTAATACTGGAAATATCTTTTGGTGTGCTTAAGCAAGTCGTCACTAGGACAAAACACCTTCCCAATGACTCCGAGTGGGGTCACTGCATGGCGCATACAAGAACGGAATGGATCTGCGCCAAGTGCATCATTTTCAATTTACTCCATCGAACTGACGTGTACAGAAGCATTTTGAAGGTGTTCAAAGAAGTTCCCTACTACGGCGAGGGAGTAATAGAGTTTTCAAGTGGCTTCGAAAATTTCCTTGACATTTCCTCGACGCAGATTTCTCGCGAACTAGAAAGCGTTCGAAACAACTAGCACCTATCAGAAAGCGTAAATCTTCTACTTTACAACGCTTTCCTCCGATTTTCAAAGCATTGCCAATGAAGACAGCTACTGTCTTCCAAAGAGTGGGAACTCGCATGTAAATTTCAATTTCCTCGACAATTCCTCGACGTCTCCCACTCTCGAGAATAGGCGTGCTTAGAAAAACGCTCAGCACAATTTAGAGAAAACTAGAAGTTGTGCATTTCAAAAGCTGCCTTCACTTTCTGAAATGGTTATCAATGAAGAAAGTTATAGTCCTTTAAATAGGGGGTACATTTGACGATTTTTCCAACTAGCGCGCTCTAGGCACAGCGCGCGACGCGATCGCGGGTAGTTAGCGCCGCTATACTGGAGCGCGAGACTGTTCAACTGTGTAGGGGCAGTACCTCCTTCAATGTTCTACTTTCCGGCCAATGTGGCCGACCAAGTGTGGCAAAGCTAAATGTCTTTAAAGGAAAGAAAGAATTGAATCTAGCATTTGGATCAAGCCGCATTTGCGTGGCAGCGGCGCTGCGTCCCTCTCGCACATCTGAAACTAGCATTTTTTGAAACCGGATGTGCAGAGGACAAAAAGGGGTCGTATCAGAGTCCATGTTTTGGAGGGGGGTCGTAAAGAGGCGGTTATTTCCTCGACACAAATTCACCCTGGGTGGAGAATAAAACAGTCTTTTCATAGTTCGGCTTTTGAAGAGGGTCGTTTCATAGACTTCGGCCTTCGGCGGAGGGAGGGGGGGGGGTCGTATTTCCAAATTTTCCTCGACGCCTCGCTTGACCCTGCTTGATATAAAGTTAGGGGCGACTTACCGCGTCAAAGCTGTGGTTATCGGCGATGTGTCCCCCCATGAATTGTGAAGGCCTTTGGCTGATTGGTTGGACGAAATATCGCCATGTTGCGTGTTAGGCAAAAAACAGGCCCCCAAAGAGGAGAGTCGAACTACTTCGAACGGGAACCTCGTTTTTCATTTATTTTGAGATTTATTATACTTCCAGAAAGTTCGAAACATCGTATAGCAAAATACCACAAGAAATACTTTATCAAATTACAATGGAATAATTTCAAATAATCGGCTCCATTGGCGAAATAATGCACACGTACAGCAGTTACGAGCTTAAATGGTACTGCATTCAGAGAAAATGCCTGTAGGAGTCTTCGCAACCTAAACTACACAGTGGGCGTTTTCGGACAGAAAGGCAGATAAGTGGGGAGACCTTGATTTACGGGTAATGACAACATCCACCGCAAACACTATCTCTAGGAGGGGGGAGGGGTAAATCTGGGTCGAATGAAAACTGCTTCGGCACGGCGAAGCCTTTTCATCCTCCGTCCTGGTCCTTAAAACTGAGCGTCACCTAAATTCATAACCGTGAGATGAAGCTGTCCCACCCAAATAAGTTTACCAAGGATAACAGGCGACGAAAGGTGCAGAGAAAGAGTGATCTGCTCCTGCATCGGATCCCACTCACTATTGATGAGATTGCTGCGACATCCGAAGAACACCCACACCAGCTGACTTCGTCTAGAAATGTCTCGATTGTTAATGGACACTCAGAAAAGTCACCAGTTCGAATGAAAATGCAGGTAATTCCATCGCAAGGCAACTAACAGTCTTCATGCGGCTATGAATTATCCACTGATTTGCCTCTGGATCAAAAACTTCAACGGTGTCCAGATGGGTAGAGCCGCGATACCCACCAACAGCGTATAACCTTCCGTTGGCAACGGCCAACGCTACCTGTGAACAATAACCCATTTTTAGTTTTGCTTAAACATATTAGAATGCACGTAGAATAAAGTGAGCCGACTCACACCAGTTCGTTTCTCGTTTCATGTCAGCACTGCGGTCCACTTGTTGGTAAGGGGGTCGTATTTTTCAACTGAACTCAAATCAAAGTTAGAGAAACGGTTCGTCCCCCTGCTGCATATAAAGTGCCCATTTAACACGAGATTCCCAAAGCTCGCTTCGATTGATGTCAAATTGGCTACGAATGTGCTCCCACTTTCCCACTGCGTGCGGATCGAATTCAAAATATGGATATTTACATTTTGAATGCGTTTTGTTGAATTTGATGCATTGGACAGTAAAGTGCTTACTGAATGCAGAGGACTCAAGCTGATGCATGTTATGCATTTTTCAAGCACGGATTCCAACTATTGGGATTTCATTTTAACCTCGGTAGCAATGCACTTATTGCATACTAGAAAGAGTTACGGTCTTGCACTGGATTTAACACGTTGACGACAGCGTGACGCGGTAACGCGTCCCACTTTGCGCACCTTGTGGGACATTGTGACGCGGTAACGCGTCCCACCCAAGTCATCCCTTTTCTTGCGCTTGCGAGGCTGATAAGGTCGTTGTACTCATTCTAGGTCATACTTTATAATACTTAAAACCACATGGCTCACAGAAAGGCCAAATATTCTTTAGTTTGGCAGACGTTTTCCAGACCTTACCGGATATGTCTGTTCAATTCATTCCTCGTTTTCTTTTCAATAACGTAGACATGTTGATAAAAAGGAATAACAGAAGTGAATACAAACCTATTCGTATGGGAAGATATGTGTTTTTACTGAAACAACCACGTCCAATTAATTTTGGAACCACTAAAGGGAAATTAAGTAAAAATTCCCTTTTCATGGCCTTAACACGTCATTTCGGTCAAACTTCCATTACTGTAACTCCTGATAAGCTAGACAGATCGAACATCATTGAAAACATTTCATCGCATCTAAGTATTGCGGATTTACAACTTAAAATCCATGGATTTGGTGTGCACGCTCGCAAAATCGCTCTTGTCCCACGAGGTGCAAAAGCACAAAACGCGTGAAGTCGTCAATGTGGTAAAAAATTTTCACAAGCCCACTTCTATCATTTTCTCGACACAACCCTGACCCCTCTTTCCCTATCTCAGCTATTTATGCATTCCAGTGCATTTATGCATTTAAAATCGATAAAATGGGTTTTCCTACGCTATCCGTACGCCCACGTCGCGCGCTTTGTTTGAAGCACGTTGACCCTTTCCATGGAAGGAAGGGAAAAGAATGCGACGAGGGCTTTCTATTTTCGAAAGCATCACTCCCTTAGGAAAAACATTGCACAGCATTCATGAATTTTTGAAGTGCACAACTTTTCTGCTTTCAGGAGCAACCAGCCTTCTCCCTTACTTCTAATGCTACCTTTTCTATAAGGTGAAAAACAAATTACTGAGTAATCGGAATTTGCCTTTATTGAAGGACAGGTGACGCCGCACGCGCTGTGCGCACACCACAGTTCTGCGGCGATATAGGTGCGGCGGCGTGAATTTTCGAATTTGGCCCAATACACTTCGAATACTTGACTTTCAAGCTGAATTCTATCCGACTGCCCCATGCTTCATCCACCGATGGCTTTTGAGCTTCCCTCCTTCCTCCACCAATTGTCCGTAATCGTCAACCAATTGTCCGTTTTTCCCGGCCTCGGACTGCCTCCGGACCGATTTATGAACCTCGTGGTAAACTCCGCCTATTTCTTTGCATGTCCCACCTATCTTTTTCTTCCTCGCCAACCTCTTCCCACTTTTTCCCGATCTCTGAACTATCTCTGAGCCGATTTATAATTTTGGCGGCGAATCCTGCTTTTTTGGTGTATCCTCCGCACACCATTAGAAATTCACTTCCTTTCCTTCGCCCACTTCTCTCCCGGTCTTCAGGACTTCTTGCAGCCGAGTCACAAAGTTTTGTGGAGAACTCCGCCCACCTTTGGAAATGCCCCGCCACCAACAAAAGTTGGGCTCACTTCCTTCACCCACCCTCTATCCACCTTTTCACCGGTCTCTGGACTTCTTGGAACTGAGTTATGAATTTTCGTCGGAAACTCCGCTTACTTTGAAGCAGGAATAGTCGAGTGCTTAAGAGGTTAGGCTCATGTCTGCACCTCTGAAACCGCGAGTTCGATCCCTGCCGAGGCTCTAAACCATGCCTTGCAAAAATTGCAAAAATGGTTCTAGTACCAGCGTCAGGCCCAGGTTGACAGGCCGGCTGATGAAGACCCCCCGTCACAACAAATATGTCTAAAGTCGAAAAAGGAATCAGTGATAAAGCTAGGACGTCACCCGGAAGTGGCGCGCAGAACCCCCGCCCGAGTTCTGTGGTCAGTATGCGAGGGCTACCGAGGAGTGAACGGCCTCGGCCAAAGAAGCTAGTTCGAATTGGGACTCTGAACGTAGGATCGCTAACTGGGAAGTCCCGAGAGGTTGCTGATCTGATGACGCGCAGGAATATCCAAGTCCTGTGCCTTCAGGAGACGCGATGGAAAGGCGCTAAGGCCAGGGAAATCGGGGAAGGTGTCAAGCTCTACTACAATGGAGAAGACACCAAGCGGAACGGCGTGGCCATAGCGGTAGCGGAGTCGCTCAAGGACTATGTCTCCGCTGTGAACAGGATCAGCGATCGGATCATGGCTGTGAGGATAGACACGAAGGAGGGGTACTGGACCATACTCTCCGTGTACGCACCGCAAGCCGGGTGCCCCGAAAGTGATAAGGACGAGTTCTATCTGAGCCTGGACGAAGCCATAAGATCGGTTCCGGAAGGTGATTACCTGACCATAGCAGGTGATCTGAATGGTCACGTCGGCGCAGTGATAGAAAAGTCCTAGAGAGGGTGCAATCGCGCAGATAGAGGGTAGGGACAAGGAAGCCGCTGAGGGAAGCAGCGAGGTCGGCACCCTGGCTACGCCACGCTGGCAGGATGAGACAGACGGAAATTGACCATGTGCTGGTAAAAGATCAACCCTCAAAACTGTGAAGGATAAAAGTTCTACCCGGCGAAGATCTGGCTCCCCAGCACAGGCCCCTCCTGGCAGACATTGCGATAGACCTCCCCAAGAAGACAAGGGTAAGAACCGAGAGGATGGTTACCGAATCGGTAGTGGAAAGCTCCACCAGCGGCCGAGAAGGGTGACTGAAACATAAAAGAAGCCCGGAGCCCCGAGGACCTCGCTGCCTACAAGAGTTGCAAGAGGCTCGCTAAGGCCGCCGTAGCCAAGGCAAAGAACACGGAGATGGACGCCTTGTACGAGAAGTTGGAAAGCAGAAACGCAGAGAAGTTCGTCTTCAGACTGGCCAAAGCCCGGCATCGGGCTACTCAAGATATCAGGGTGGTGAAGAGCGTGAAGAGCAACAACGGCGCCATACTGAGGAAAGCCAGCCCAAGTTCGGAGGAGGTGGGAAGAGTACTTCAGAGGTCTTCTGAACGAGGAGTTCTCCCCACAAGAACGACTCACGGGCAGAGGCCACAGCTGGTCCCATCGCACTCTGGACTAAGGATGAGGTTAGGTGTGCACTTGGGAGGATGAAGGTTGGAAAGGCGGTTGGCCCAGATGGGGTGCCAATCGAGGCATGGAAGGCGCTCGGAGAGTACGGCATAAGGTGGCTCACCAGCTTCCTGAACAAGGTAACAGTGGAAGGAAAGATGCCGGATGCATGGAGGACAAGTACCATCGTCCCCATCTTCAAACAGAAGGGCGACGCAATGGACTGCTAACTACCGCGGGATCAAGTTGACTGCGGTCATGAGTTGGACGAGGCTGACGGTAGACTCGAAATTGCGGGAGCTGGTCCCAGTCGACCAAACCATCGAAAAAAATGGAAGGACTTACTGCACCGTGAGTGATCAGCACCGACGGAAGTGGGATCAGCAGTGAAGGCCGATCTCCCAGGAACAGTTCGGGTTCATGCCCGAAAGATCTACAACGGATGCCATCTTCATCGCAAGGCAAGTGATGGAGAAGTATCGAGAAAAGCGCCGACCCTGCTACCTAGCCTTCCTCGACCTGGAGAAGGCGTTCGACCGGCTACCGCGAGCAGTGCTGTGGAGGTCGCTCAGGGAACGAAACGTGCCAGAACACCTGATCTCGCTGGTGAAGGACATGTACGAAGGAGCCAAAGCAGCCATACGCACCCCTCACGGCCTAACAAAGGAGATAAACATCACGGTTGGGGTGCATCAAGGGTCAGCTCTGAGCCCCTTCCTGTTCCTCCTAACGCTCGATACCATGGTGAAGGGCCTCATGGAAGGACCACTGAAGACCATCCTCTACGCTGACGACATAGCTCTGATAGCGGATAGCAGAGAGGAACTTCAAGCCAAGGTGCAGAATGGCAGAAGTCCTGGCAGAAGGTGGGCTCCGGCTGAATGTCAAGAAGACCAAGTTCCTGAGCTCCGAAGAGGGTGCAGAGCCGATCGTGGACGGCCATGGTGAGACCATCGAAAGAGTGGAGGACTTCCGCTACCTTGGGAGCGATCTGGCAGCCGACGGTAGTGTGGATCAGGCAGTGAAGGCTCGGGTCAACGCTGCATGGATGAAATGGAGGGAGTCCACTGGAATCCTCTGCGATCGAAGGTGCTCCAGAACGCTCAAAGGGAAGGTGTACCGAACAGTGGTAGGCCTGCGATGCTATACGGCAGCGAGTGCTGGCCCCTGAACAAGAACCACGAAAGGCAGCTTCACTCCGCTGAGATGAGGATGCTGAGGTGGGCCTGCGGCTGGACGCGGCTGGACAGGTTAGAAACGAGGATCAGAGCGGTCATGCAGACTGCCCCTGTCCAGCTGAAGGTGCGAGAGCAGCGTCTGCGATGGTATGGGCACGTGCTAAGGAGGCCACAGGATCATCCGATAAGAACAGCGATGGACTTCGAAGTGCAAGGCAAGCGACCGCGAGGAGCCCCAAAGAAGGTGGAGAGACGTGATCAAGAAGGATCTAAGTGAAGTCA